ACACACACACACACACACACACACACACACACACACACACACACACAGGGGTGGCTGAGAAGGATAGAGAGAAAAGAGCTTCCAAAACTAGGAAAAGTCTAGAAAACTACTCAAGGTTTCTGTAACTAAATTGTAAAGTCTTAGTAAGAAAAGGAAGCACCAGAAGAGCTTAGAAATAGGTCTGTTTTAGGATTGTTTGTTTGTTTTCGGAGACGGTCACTCCCGGGGTAGCTCTGGCTGGCCTGGAACTCATTATGCAGACTAGGCTGGCCTGGAACACACAGAGATCCACCTGCCACTACCTCCAAAGTGCTGGTACACCACTCCACCTGACCTTAAGGTCATCTTTTAAGAAGGTGCAATCATCTTCATTTGAGGGTGATTTATTCCCTCTCTCCTTTCCAAAGTGCTGTGATGAGGAAAAGTTTCCAGTGAAAGGAAGGAGAGTCATACACACAGCAAAGTACTTAAGGAAGGACTTATAATATATGTATTTTATTATAGTATATTTTATTATACTTGCTTGCCTTTAATGAGACTTTAGTCAAATCCTAGGTTTTGTTCTGTGCAGAGCTAATGCATTTGAATTAAAATTTTGGCCATTAGTTGTATAACATATACATGTTTGCAATGTGCAGCTCCCATGTATGCTTTCTCATCACGAGACATCATCACCTGCAGAATAAAACAATAAGATAGTGTTGTCACTGTTGAGCTGTCCCAAATTATTCTTACAAAGTCTATTGACTGACATTCTTTCAAAGTCTGTTCCCATATGTAATGGGAACTAGGAAAAAAAAAAAAGCCCTATGTAACCCTGTGGAGATCAAGGACATAAAGACTATTTGTCACTGCCTTTAAGTCCACTGCTTCGTAGGAGGCAGTTTTGTGTCAACTTCTAGGTTTTAGGGAATGAGAAAGACTTCTTTCATCTTCTAGTTGCAAGAGGGAGGAGAAAAAGATATGAGTGACAATACACATACTAGCCATTAGATCAGCTGAGAATTCGTGTTGACAAAAATGTGTAAATGTATACCAATATGGGTTGGAAAGACAGAGAGATGGCCTAGCTGGTAAAATGATTGCCATTCAAGCAGGAGGACCTGAGCCAGATTCCCCAGCTCCCATACCTTAAGAGAAAAATTCAAGGAAGAGGTGTGTATCTCTAATCTCAGCCATGGGAAAATAGAGACAGAAGGTTCACTGTCCTGCCAATCTAGCCAATCAGCAAACTCCAGGCTGCGTTACAGATCCTGTCTCCACAATTAAGATGGAAAACAATGGAGGGAGGCACTTGGCATTGACATCTAAGCTCTGTGTTCATGCACACAGGCACATATACACACGCAAACATGAACGCATAGGTATATAGGTTCAAAAATAATAAAATTAAGAACTTTTCAAGTGTATGCTGACAAAAGGTAAGAAATTACAGTCAACTAATGAGGGAAGACTTACAGGATGATTGCCAGTTAGCTAGCCTGACAACAGTTACTGACAATAAGTTCCCAATAGGGTGAAATGAGTGAGGTGCTTAGAACACTAGATTTAAGAAGGAAATCAATCCCATGCAATGTATCACAGGCCTCTCATGTGAAGTACTTCTTTAAATTTTAGGCTAACTTTTTTTATTCAAGATCCACCCAGGTAACCTACTCTCTGACTTTTTCTCCCTTAAAATTGGATCTTGACCTTGTCCCCAACTGAAGAAACACAACTTTCATATGTGGCAGATGCTTCCTAATGACTCACTAAGCTGTTTTCTTGGTCCTCAGCACTCCTGGGTGGATCCTTGGACTCCTTTGCCGTCAGGGGACAGCCTGTGATACAGTGGAATGGAAGCAGATAGAAGCGGCGTAAGTTCCGGTGAGTACATGGAACACAGCCCTGCCCTAACCCCCTGCCTCCATGGTACAGTGACATTAACAAGACAAACATTTATGCTTTAAACCATGCTATTGACAGGTAGAGTAATGTGTGACAGCTTGTTGGTCTTTCCTGACTAGCACAATCTATGACAATTCTCCAAAAATCTATCTTAAAGCTAAAACTTCACAGCTCACAGCCTGGCTTGCTGAAGGCAGTGTAGACATTTGCTGTGCTGTATGGTATTTTTCTAAAGGCCCTTGACTGACTGTTGTTTTTGTTGGTCTGCCATCTGGTGCTCGGATGGAAGGGTGTCAAGGAAACTCACAACTCTGAGGACCCAAATCAGAGTCATAGCTTCAAATGTTTTTGTTTGCTGCTGCCAGCCTGCCTTACTGACCAGGTGGAAGGGGTCCAGAAAACTCACAACTCCTAATCCCAGAGATGAGTTGGAGCAGTGTCCCAAGGCCATCCTGAGGCACAGGAGCCCAGGAACCACACTGCTCTGTGTGGGACACTGTCCCAAGGGCATCCTGAGGCACAGGAGCCCAGGAACCACACTGCTCTGAGAGGAGGCCTCCTCAAAAGAGACACTGCAGTTTCCAGGGGAGGGGTGCCCCAACCCCTGATGAGCTGAGGAGATTTGGAGTCTGAACTTTCTTCTTCTTCTTCTTCTTCTTCTTCTTCTTCTTCTTCTTCTTCTTCTTCTTCTTCTTCTTC